TAAATGAGAGACATTTTCCAGTGGTATCACCAACACCAACTAGGAAAAAGTTGAACGAAGTACAAAAGTTGCGAGATTATGTAAATAACCCTACTCAAAAATTGCAAGTAAGCGATAATTCCCGTGGTTAGTTCGAAAGGCCAACTTTTCGTAGTTTGCCGATTATAGCAATTATGGAATGCAGTTGCCTTCGAAAAACCGCTCTGCAGTTCAATGCCATCAGCAAATCCCAGCTGGATAGATGGGTGGCGTGTAGAAAACCGGAATATTATAGGTAATTTAACCTACTGAAAATGTGTAAGTAGTTGGTTATTATGGATAGGAAAATATACGACCCCTCGAAATAATCTCACCCTTTTAACTTCCCTCAGCCTTCACCTCCTCTTCGCCATCATAGAAACTCTCCATCTCCTCCTCCTTATCCTCCGCAGTCACTTTCAGGTCTCAAGCTCCTGCTCCTTACGTCAGTTTCCTCCCCACTTCCAGAATCTGGTCGTTCGATGAGGCCTGACATGCGAGCACCTGCGCAACAGCAAACAGCAGAAGTAACGAGAAGTTGGTCATAGTTTAGGTTTACATCAGAAGAGTATAGCCAGATGCCGTTTGTAGGAAAGCTGATTTCTCCCGCCGATATAACAGCGTGGGCGTGATTGCGTTCTTGCTCGTGTGCAGTGTAACCCGGCGTTTAAAATTGAAGTTACGTATATACAGATAGTTTACACGACGAATGTCTTGCAAACATTGCGTTGGCGGTAGGCCTTCACTGCCTTTCTAATATTTTGAGTGATCAGCTACACACGGAATCTCCGTTGTAAAACTGAATCTGCTATCATACAGTGCGCTCGGGGAAAAGGTCGGTGTTCTGTAATTATCCGAGATATTTGAAAATCGTGCTGCGCACAGGTATTGGCCTCTGTACATGTTAAATTGGGATTACTTCACGGTGGGGATCGGTTGTGTTAAACATTTAATATACAGGGTGGCCCAAAATAATGAATACAAATAATGTAACATATATATCACATAACTGTAAACTTTGTGCATATGATAAGTGTATTATTTCAAAAATGAAAAAAAAACTTATTTACAAGTATCATCATATTGTTTCTTCACTGTATTTTGACTATTGCAACAGTGGCTGAATTGAGAGAAACCATTGAACATTAATGCACCCAAGTACTAAGGAAATTGTTTGGTGATGTATGCGATTGCATTGCTTCGCGTTGTCAGCAGTGTCATAATCAACATGGATGTCAGTTTGAGTACACTCAGTGAAAAAACAATAAAATGATAATTGTAAATATGGTTACCTTTTTGAAATGATAAAATTATAATTAACACCAATTTTACAATTACGTAAAATGTGTATATATTTTTGGGACACCCTGTATATATGACTCACTTCTATGTTTTTTTTAAATACGCCGGGTTTGTTTATTATGTCATAATAACGGAAAGTCAACCTTTGTGTTGGTGATTACGATTGCGTGTGGGCGTCATCGTCGATGTAACTGCAAGGGCGTAATTGCAGACTTGCTCATGCCCAATATAACCCCCGACTCCGAAATCGAAAGTACATATATATAGACTGTTTACACGAGGACTGCCTTGCAAACATTGCGTTGGCGATGAGCCTTCCACCCTCTCTGAAATGATGCGTGAATAGACATATGCCCATATCTGTTTTAACACGAACAATGTGCGCATCTGCTTAGGTCTGTCTGCGCATGTTTCACTGTTTTGATCACTATAAATGCAGTGTTAATGAGCAATGAGCACGTTTCGGATCAGATCATATTTAAGGAAGTCCAGTTAGGTGAACGAACGTTTTTGATCAATTCATCATCAGGCAATACAGTAATATAAGGGAGGGTAGAGTTAACGAAAGTTTTAGGCAAACCAACCAGTAGTAACAAGGGGGAATAGAGGGGAGAGGTGTAAAAGGATCAAGGGGGTCCGATTCTAGTCTTAATTGGGGAACAGAGAAATGGGGGTGGGGGCAGGCTCCCGTGGCCAAACGCCACTTCAGCATTCGCCCTCGCGCCTCTTACGACGCCGCGAAACAGCGATGAGACTGCGGCATCAAGCATCCAAAGGCCGCCGACGCCGTCACAAGACGTCGACACCT